CCGTTTTTGAAGACTCTTCCGATCCCTCTGACCCCATGGTAGCGGCTGCCCCGGTCCCCCTCCATGTACGGGAACACTCGCGCCTGATGCGTCCAGTAATAATCTTTAGACCCAAAGAAAAACACAGGGAATTCTCCAATCTCGTGCTTCATTTTCTGAATATTTGGGGGAACATTTTTGGGATGGCAAACTTCTGCCGGCCACCATCTATTATAAATATTAAAAACAGGGTTCACAGACTCTTCAGAGAGAGCGGCAATCATTTCAATGCTTTTAAGTACTGTAAAGTCAAACAGACACACGTGAACAGAGAAAGACAAGAGCACAGGGCTGTCCTCACACCTGTAGTTCCCCAGTTTGACCCAGACGATGTCCTGGAAGTGCAGCCTCTTGCCTGCCCTACAGTCGTTGCAGAACCAGCTGCCGTCGGGCATCTCAATGCTGAGGCAGTCAGGGTGGAAGGCTGCTGGGCAGGCCTCGCAGCACAGCAGGCTGCCCCCTGCAAGAGTGGGCGCAGGGTGAGCCTGCTTCCCTGGGCCTCAGCTCCATCCTGCAGCTCCAGGCCAGGCAGCACCCTGCCAGCACAGACCCAGCCCTGAGGGCGGGCGGGCAGGCTGGCAGCGAGTCTAGGTACATTACAGCAGGCCCACAGGGCAGAGGCCCCTCACCTTTGGAGCACACGAAGCACCAGCTGACATTGACATGGGTGTGGTGCCGCTTTCCCTTCCGAGCGGTGAAGTGGCCCGTGCAGATGATGCTGTTGGACGCAATCACCGTGCACCCTGCTGCCAGACAGGCGTCCCCTCCATGGTAGGCAACAGGGCATCGCACACAGCGCATCATCTTCCCTGAGGGCGAGAACACCCTGAGGATCCCGGTGGCTGCTACCAACCCTGATGGCAATCAGGACACCGCAGAAACCCAGAGAGCCTGTGAAGGCACCACCTCCAGGTGACAGAAGGTACTCAGGACAGCCTGCAGGGTAGCTCCCAGATGCCACACCCTCAGTCTGGGCATGGCAGGCACCGGAAGGGCTGTCCCACACACTGTCCGACCCTCCCTGCCAGAAGCCAGGAGCTCGTCCCCAAAACATCTCCAGGCATTGCCACCCCCAGGGGAGAAGCCCTGGTGCCCTCAGCCCAGACAGCTGCCCTAAAATGCTAGCTCAGATGTAATCCCATCCAAGAATGTTTCCTGGGTGCATGAGGTGCCCTGACAGCCAGAACCCATCAGGGGCCCTATGGGTCCCCGTCTCTTAAAACCAAGAACCCTCAAGACAATTTTGGGATGAAAAGAGGAGGAGGGTACAAGTGGGGGCAGGTCTGGCAGTGAAGAAATCCCAGCAACCAGCTTTGTGTCCAGTACCAAGAGGAGGGGAAGCTGCTGGAGGCGGAGCCCCTGACCTCTGGCAACAAGCCCAGCATACCCCGCGGGAGGGAGCCAGGCATAGCCTACCTTTCGCCGGCCTTGGATGTGAGGGGTTGGAGGCATGGCAGCTCACGCAGCTGTGCAGGGGGCAGCGAAAGCCCCGGCTCTCAAACACCGTCAGAGGGAACTTCCTCACACAAGCCTCATGGTAGAACTTCCCACACTGAGTCACGACGCAGCGCCTCACCTCCATCTTGCTCTCTTTGCACACGAAGCATGAGTGGACCCCTAATAGCCAGTCAAGGAGGGAGAGAGGAGGGTGCCAAGAATTCAACTGTGATTCCAGGCCGCCAGAGCCCAGCTGCACTCTGCCCCACCTGCCCATGGGGGCACCTGGCTGTCTCCAGCCTTGCTGACTTTATCCTCATGGGGATAAAGCCAGCTGTGAAGGGTGACCCTGCAGCTACTGGGCTCCAGCTTCCCCTCAAACACAGGGAAGTCCTACCACGMAGCCAGGGGCCCCTCCCTAACCGTGGTGAAGGGCCGCTCACAGATGCAGGCCGCAGCACCCCATGCAAGGCATTCCTTGGGTTCCCACCTAGGCTGCTTTGATAACAGCCAAGGACGCCTCAGGCTTGCTGTGCAGTTGTCCTGCCATGGTGACCCCAAGCAGGCAGCAGGGCAAAGGCACTGACCAGTTGGCAAGCCTGGATCCACCTGCTGTTGAAAGGGAAGCTCAGACTAATGCTTTCCGTCCCTACCAATGACAGTGTTCTGTGACCAACCAGGTGACCTGGCTAAGAAGGCTGGCTGTCCACAGGTAGAGTGAGTTCAGGCCCACGGGGGGACATGCAGGGGCCCAGCCACCGTCAGACTCCATCAGTCACTGTGCCCTGAACTATATGCAGAGTGCTAGGGTGGCACTCACACCCTGAGCCTCCCACCTGCTGGAGGGCACCCAGGGAGCAGGCTGCAGGTGGGAGGGACATGCTCTCTGCTGATATCTGGGCTTGGCTGCTGCAGGGAGGTGGGAGCAGGAGGCGGTGCAGCAGCACTGCTCTGGGCAGGAGGGGAAGCCACAACTTGCCTGAGGCACACTCGCTGCAGGTGAACCTCCCTTCCGGTCTCCGGGAGAGGCCCAGGCAGGTGAGGTGGAAAGCCCCACAGCAGGGCCCTTCACACAGCAGGAGGCTGCCCGTCTTCTCGCACAGCTGTGGGACAGAACAGGCAGCATGAACCACACAGAGCAGGAGCTCCTTCTGTGTCCTGCTTACCCTGCGACTGAAAAGAAGCCATGAAGAGAAGCAGCCATGATGAGTTCAGGGTCACATCAGAGCCAGGTGATACAGTGGTCAGTCCCTCAGCAGAGGCTAATGAAACAACAGGCCCCAAACCCTGAAGGCACACTCACAGGTGCTTGAGCTGGGCAAGGAAATCAACAAACCCCAAGGCATGTTTTCATCCTGTCAGAGGGGACAGGCTCCAAGCAAGCAGCACGCCAGACACTGCCAGGCCCCATCACCAGGCATTACCACTAGAGGGACCCGGGCGTGCCTGGTGCACAGTGCCACGTCAGCCCAGAGCTGGCCTGGGCAACTCACACATCACACGCCCCACGTCCCTCCAGCACAGTACAGAGGCATGCCCTAGGGGAGTGGGAGCCAGTGATGCTCACCTAAGTGGGGACAGGCTGGGGGTCTGCAGGAAGGGGGCCTGCCCAGCCTGCGTCAGACACCCTGCAAGGGATCAGTGCTGCAGCCCCTCACCTGACACACGTACTCCTTTTTGGCCGTCATTCCTCGTTCTGACCTTTTAGATGAGATGGACACTTCGGTCTGTGTTTCGTCTGCACTCTCATAAGGAGACTCTGAGGGCTCGTCCACTAGGCTGTCCGAGACCTGAAGATTAAGGAGGCGGAGGACAGTTCACTAGTCACAGAAAATGGTGGCTGTTGTGCCCTTCAGGCTTGGCCTTCCCCCACCCATCTCGGAGTGACGCGCTCCAGCCTCTGGCCTCTGCAGTGGTGCAACCATCAACAGAGCTGCGCAGTGTCCAGAGGTGGACACACTCCACTCAGCATTGAGAATACTCATGTACACAAAAGCACGTTCCTTGAAATGAAGAAACGCACGAAAACCCAGTTTGCTCTTCTAGGCAAGCTAACACAGGCTTTGGGACCAGGAACCCTCCCTTCCTTACCCAGTCTGCTCAGGTCCAATCACCAAATGGGTCTTGAAAGGAAACTAAGGCTGCACGTGGCGGCAGTGCAGCCTGCTCACGTGGGGGTGCAGGCCCCACTCTTCCTACACTGACGTGCTGTCCCAAGGTCAGCGGTCATCCCAACTCCACCCACTGACTGCTGCTGTCTCTTACCCTCCCATCCAGGAGGAGGTGCAGTGGGGCCTTCTTGGGAACACAAAGTCTGAAAGCAGGGCCAGAAAGTCCTGGAAACCCAGAGCACCTGGAGCCCAGGGGGATGGTGTTCCTCCACCCAAATGCCCTCCACTCCACAGTGGGCATCAGGACCAGCAACAACCTCACTCTTCACAGAGCACCTTGCCCTCACTGGACCAGCCATAGCAATAAGCATTTGAGAAGACAGAAGACCTTCTTGTCTATCAAATTCAGGTGTGTTTAAAAATTGTATTTGATGATAGGTAAATAAATGTTGAAAACTGAATTTTGGAGCTGGAACAAAATAGAAACTGCATCCTTGCACGCCTCAATAATCACCATAAAGACATCACAGTCTTGCTGCTTGTCCTTCAGCACCAAGCTAGGTATTAAAATAGGGCCACATTAAAAATGAAACTGCAACTCCACCAGGGAATCTGACTGACTCAACACCCTTATTAAGAGCTTTTTCCAAATTTAGCTCACTGAAACTACAGGAGTGGTTAGAAGAAAAGAAAGAAAAGCTCCTGCGGGCTGGCTGGCTGGCAGGCAGGTGGTGGGCTGCTTCTGGGGGCCTCCGTGGCTCCGAATGGCTCATGGAGCAGTGACAGGGCCCTGAATGCCACTACTGGAGCCTCACTAAGATACATCTCGTGACAACAGTCCAACAAAAAACTCATTTTTCTCACCTTTTGCAGGAAGATGGGAATAGCATGAACCAACACTAGATTAGAGGGCGTCGAGTCTTAAGGTTGTCACCGGAAGGCTGACTAGCTGGAAGTGCAGGGCCCACTGCCCGTCCCTCGCCCATCAGCTCACCTCCCACTTCTTTAACGTCAACATCCAGAAACAGGCAACTTGAAATGCTGAGTTCAAACCCCAAATTCAACATGTCCGTCAGACAGAGGTCACAGGTGGGGGTCTGAGCACTTCAGAGGTGAGAATGGAGTGGGTGTTGGGGGAGCCCAGGACATCAGGAAGCAGCCCCACCGCTGCCAGATGCTGACCCATCTGGTGGGGGAACTGAAGCCCAAAAAAAAGGCCTTTAACGCAAGCCCTCGGGAAGAGAGCCCAACACTCTGCCCACCAACCCGGTTCCTCCCTGAGTGTGGCTGGAATGAATTTAAAAGCTAAAAAAGGAGAAAATACATGGAGAGAAAGACAGAAAACACAAACCAGTCCTGGGTCAGAGGAAGGAACAGCACCTTTTATTTAAGATTTACAGAAAGTTAGCACGTTTCCACTTGGAGATATCTCCTAAATTAACAAAGTCTGTTTTGAGGAAATAAACAGGAAATACATATTTGAATGGCATTATAAATGTTCATGACACACATGAGGCTCATTTCCTGACTGGGGCCCAATCCCACATACAGAATACAGACCTTACAATATCACAGTCCATGGCAGGTGGCAGGCCCGCCCTCACCCCACCTCCCCGCCAGCCAGTAGGCAGGGTCCCTGGCTCTCAGCGCCCCTCCCTGCAGCTGCAGGCTCCGCCTCCACACCAGGTGACAGCCAGCTGTGGAGGTGAATGTCACCTGCATGGGCTCCACAATCCCAGAGCTCTTCTACAACCCCCACCATCCCTCCCACRTTGACAGGAAGTGCTGGAAAGGAAAAGCCAGCGCCCCAAAGGACAGCCTTCCTGCCGCCTCCTCACCCAGCCAGGCCAGATGGGCAGCAACCATCTCCCAGCAGCTCAGTTCCTGCCTTCCCAAGTTTTCTTCAGTCTGAAAACCCTTTCTCCAATCTCTACTCAGTGATGACACCAAGCTGCCTGTTCTCCTTAGAAATACTCCTTCAGGGCAGGGAACACAGGCTCCTTCATCTAGCACGGGGCCTGCAATGTGGCACCGCCCAAGGGGACAGGACGGGAACAGGACCGTGACCGCCTTCCGCCAGCTGCCAGCAAGCACAGCCACAGAAGGCTCACTCACCACAGCCCCGCCCCTTCCGGGTGCTGTCACACAGTGAGTTTTTAATTTTTTGACAAAACAAATCCCTTCACAAATTGAAGACTACATCATTTTTGAAATACAATCACAGACCTTGAACAATAAATATTTCTATAAACCAACATTACTTTTGTGTTTAAGTTACGCTTTTGTAAAAGAAACTGATTACTAAGTACTTTCACAGAGTGTTTTGGATTTACAAATGATAGGAATCCTGTGCTCAGCAGATTTAATGAGTTTTAAATCAAAAGGACTAATCTCAAAACAGGTCTTCCAAGTTAACATCACAGTGAAATATTAGAGCAGAATTAAAATGATTTTAAAATAAGTCGTCATCTAAAATCTGGAATTCAAAATAATTTTTGTTAAAATGACCCTTCCAGGTTACACAGACTGGAACCTTCCCAGCTGTTCCTAAATGACAGGGTAAGGGCCAAGAGTGAGTCACTGAGGACATAAAGATCTCTAGTCCACAGGGCCATCACATGCTTCTCCGTTAGCTTCTAATCTACGCCAGCTTCTGTGAGAAAGGGCAGCAAGGACCCAGGGGAGTTGTGGCCATAGCTGGCCATGTGGCTGCTGCTCCTAGTTCAAGACCTGCCTTGTCCAAAGCACAGGGAGTCTCTAAAATGGTCCCAGCTGTGCCTCAGTAATGGCCGCACCCTGCTGGGAAGCAGGCTGGTGAGGGTGCTGGGCTGGCTGGCTGAGCCTTGTCTGGAGGGCTTGAGAACAGACAAGACCATCTCCAGTCTGCCTCCTGCCTTGGCTCATGCAGCCAAGCAACATCTCTGCAGTCAGGCCAGGACCCCAGTCCACCCCAATCATTTCTTGCAAACAATATCCCCGGATGGTTAGCATGCTTCAAACATTGCCAGAGCTACATGTAAAACTCAAGGACCACATATAACCCTGAAAAGTTACAAGTGTGGATCCAGCACGGGACTACATAGGTACATGGCACCTACCAGGACAGGGCTGCCAGGTAGCTAGAGGGACTCCCAGGCAGGAGAGACACTGGGAGTTCCAGCCCTCACCCTTCCAGGACAAGTGCACAGGCTCTCCCGCTGGCTAAGGGACGGTCCACCTCCATCCCTGGCAGGTCAATTAGCGGTCATTTCTGATAAAAATATTACCCAAGGAAATCAAAATAGATTTCATTTACCCAAAGTCCTAGAACACCCAGCAGTCAGCATCTGTGTGTGTGCAGTATTGGGGATGGAATCGAGGTCCAAGCATGCCACAGAGCACTCTGCCACTGAGCCACACCCCAATTCCAGGAATAGGCATATTTCTTTAAATCAAAAACACTTGAAATGCCATGAGGAGCAGAGCCTGGGCATGCTGGGAAGCCTGGGGTGCGCGGGACAGCCTGAGAGGCAACAGCAAGGTCCTCAGCAGCTGCTGTGTCTGCCTCTAGAGTTCCTAAACTAAGATAATAAAAATATTGAGTTTTAAAACATAAAATGTTCCACGTTCCACACTGAGTCCAAAGGGCTGGCCTGGCCCAGCACATGCGTCTGCTTGGACAGAAGGGTGTGCAGTGGCTCAGGTCAGCCAGTTCAGAAGGCTGCACTAGAATCAGAGACTCAGAAATGAAGCAAGCTCACTAAGCCTTCCACTGCTGACACTCCAGCACTGGGAGGTCCACAGGGCCCCGGCTCTGTCCTGCACTGCACCAGGTTGCCACCACACCCTTCTCAGGTCACACACTTTCAGTCCTCCTGACTGACACATGTGCATGGGCAACCTCTTCTGTTTGGGCAGCTAGATGCTAACCTACAATCTCAATTTTCTTCTCAGTGTGTTCCTGTGACAGGCCCTTAGAGGGTCCCAGCATCACGCACACTGCCTGGCCACACCCTTGGGCTGAGAGATGGGGGACTACAGACCATCACTGACAGCGCAGCTGCTTCCTTCTGCCTTTCCTCACTCGCTGGCTTCCAATCTCTAAGACCCTATTTGGGTCTTCCTGGGCCTGAAGGGCCACTCGAAGCAGGCTGTCCAGCTCCCTCCTGCATCACTGGCCCCTCTGCCAGGAGACACCTCCTCATGATAAAGCTGGGCCTAAGTCTCTCGATGCTTTCCAGGAACATTCTCTTAAAAACACAGGAAGTTACCACTTTCAGTGGGGAAACATGGATATGTCCCAGCACTCTGCAGAAAGGCCAGCCAGGCAGAACGGCAGAACCCTTGCACTCCACAGCACCATCCCTGACACTCCGCTGGCACACCACTTTCCAATGCTCGTCTTACGCAAGAGAGCCACCTCCCTGGCCAGGCAAACATGGACCTGTGGGTGTCTGAAGCAAGTCAGACGAGATCACGAGCAGAACTCGTCTCAAAAAAGGGCAGCTCAAACGTCCTTAGGCCAGACATGTACCACTGCTGTTCTGACAGTTGTAGTAAACGAAGGAATTCCATGTTCAATTCGCAGAATAATGAATTTTGTACTCTTGGCAGCTTGTCCAAGCCTGAGCTTTCAAACAACTCCACCTCTGACCCCAAGGAAACTGCTTCTCTGCCACAACACCAATACTAGTCTTCAAAGCTGGGTACTTCTGCCACATGCAAGACTGTTCCCTAGAGGGCAGATGCTGCTACCCTAACCCTAAACCTACACAGCAGACTCCTAATGTCCCTGGGGCACAAGGTCTTCCCAGCTGAGGAGCATATGGCCCTGTGAGCACTGTTCTATCCCTGGGACAGCCCCCTCCTCCCTTCCAGAGAACAGCACCCCTCCTTGGCTTCCCACACAAAACCCACCGTGCTCCAATTTCAAATGCAGTCCCTCACTGGGCCCATACTCTGAGGCCAGCATCCTTACTGCAGGACGCCACCTGAACCAGATCCATTTTATTCCATCGTGTTTCTCTTATTTTAAAAGTCAGTGGCTAATGTTTTGACACTCTTAAGTTTACCAGAGCTCCTTGGGTTCTCTAAGGGTAGCAAAACTCAGACTGCTCCTAGGCTATCTGAGGTCACATCTCCCACTACTCTGAGCAGATCCATGAAGCAGCCCCCAGCCCCCAGCCCGAGTCCAGCACCCAATGTGCCACACAGACCCAGCTTCTGTCAGACCACGGTATTGCCCCACATGCATAATGTAGTTGAGAGGATCACTGTTCATGCCAAGGCAAAGTTATGCTTCTGGATAAAAATGGAATGATGGTGATTTCATCTTTTTATTATCATAACCATTACTGTCACAACAGCGAGCCGCTGAATCCTTGCAAGGTGCCAAGCACCCCGAGAGCTTACATGCGTTACAGTACTTAGTGTTCGGAACAAAAGCATTCCTCGGGAACTTTCATTACAGACCAGACACATCTGAGGAGTAGCCAGGAACAGCTGGGCCCCGTTCCTCTGGCTGTGAGCAGCGCAGCTGCTGCAGGAGCTGGGGCCCGTGCCGCTTCCCCATGCAAATGTGCGGACACTGGGCATGGCATGGCTGGCACCAGGACCATGACACATGTGCTGCTGACGCCCCACAGAAGTGACTGGCAAGGTGGCTGGCAGAAGTAGCCCTGGGTGACCATCACCGAGTCAAGAGGTGGATGGTTCACAATGGACTGTGAATGGTACTTGGCCCAAAACTGTGTCTAGTGTCATAGTAAAACTGTTCATAGAAAAGCACAGACTCAAAATGCCTCCTGCCTGTTGTGCTGGAAACTGGGTTCGTATCTACAGCACTAACTGCATTTCACTGGCAATTAAAACAGCTGACGAGGACCCCTCCGTGTGCTGTTTGCTCTTTGTCTCTGGAGCAATGGGTGCTGACATTTGTTCACAAAGATGCAGGGAGTTATGACCTGGGGGAAATGACCCTTGAGGCAGTGTCACTGCTGCAGCTCTGGGGCGGCCCTCCGAGGGCCTCCTCCCAACTGAACTCTACGTTGCTCTCGGAGTATGGGTGTCTCTACCATGAGATGGACGTGACTGAGTCAATGGCCTTGATCAGGTTCTTACCTTGGTCTTACAATGTGTTATCTGTTCTCTTCACTGTATGTGTTTATTAATGCCAATAAAAACAGAGTACCATATGTCTTCCACACAATGACTGTGAGAGCAAGCATGTCACTGAGTGTGCCGATGACGCACGCCCGCGGCAGACATCTCGGGCCATTACATCACTCTAAGTGCAGTACAGGGCATCTGGTTCAAGTCCAACTTGACTGATGTGGGCTCCCACAAAAGCTGTCACCAGTGAAGGCGAAAAAGTAAGAATTTGCTCTACTAAGGGAATAAGAAATGAAGTTACAAAACAAATCACATCAATTCCTTCACAGGCCGTTGTCATGCAAGTGTGCAATTTAATATATTCTCTTCGTTGGGGTGATGTAGAATCATGTAATAATTATTCCAATAAAAATTTATTTACCACATACACATTTGTCAAGAATTTAAACCACAACACGACCTACAATGTCTTGAGATACCAATCTTAGGAAAACACCTTGTTTTTTTCCAATCTAGTGTGACTGAAATATAAAGGAAGGAAATATAGACATGCAAGAGGGAGGCAGCCCTCACGAGGGCTGGTGGGGTGCCCGGCCATAGCCACCACACCAGAGCCAGCCCAGCAGGCTTCCGGGCAGCCCTGCAGCACCAGTAGTATGTAGCACTGCACACCTGCAGCTGCCGGCCACGGCTCGGCAGAGTGAGTGCACAGTGGACAAGCCTCTCGATCACCCAGGGCCAGCCAACCAACAGTGTGACTCTGTGAGCCACACAAAAGAGACCTCCTGGAGAAGGCCTCGCAGTCCAGGTGAACTCACATAAGGAGCACGATGCACACCATAGGTTTGGGTCACCTCAAGTGTGGGAAGGTTCCACATGCGATATAAATACGCTCTGTCATTGACCAACCTCTACAGCTTGACAGTCACACACAGATTCCGTCTCCTGAGCTCAGAGCAGAGGCCACATCGGCCAGCTGCTCTCCCGTCTCACCTCCACCCTTACCACCCCAGCCTGGCCTGCACGAGACTGGCATCCAAGAGCCGCAGAAAGGATTCCAGTGGCCTCGATGCTTTTCTCTCTCTCTCATATCTGACACCAGCATCAGCAAAAACTCAACCAGAAAAGTGAACCAGAATAAGAAAAATTCATCAAAAATGTTTTATAAACAAAACCACCAACTTAAGTAAAAGGGCCTACAGAACTAAAACTTTGTTTTTAATATTCTTATTTGGAATTCAGGCCACCTTTCATTTAATTTCTAGGATACTGACCTGAACTTGGGTAAGAAAGAAAAAAAAGGGGAAATGATTTGTATAAAATCTGCCTTTCCAGGTTCTAGCAAGCTCCTAATCAGAAGCTTTGAGAAGAACCATGTTTCCAGAAGGAAAGAATGTTTGTCTACACAGCAAGGAACAGGTGAGCACCTCGCCACAGCCTCTGCCTGGCCCCGCAGAGGGGCCCACAGTGCTGTCCCTGACTGACAGGAGAAAGAAGCCATCCTGTCCCGCCTCACTACCCTCTTCCCAATAATGGCCAAGGTCACCACCTCCTCACTAATACAAAAACAGGACTCATGTCCACAGGAGAAAAGCAGAACCACAGGGACCAAGGGAAGAAATCAAACTGGAAAGGAACCACTGTGAAGGGAGCCACCGGAGACTGGGCCACGCTCACCTTGCAGCACAAATGCTAGGCCTGCATTTGTGACTGCTGCTTTTTGCTAGCTTTTGGCAATGGCAAAGTCCCAGACTTGGTAGTGCCTTCTAGGTGTCATGCCACAATGACAGTAGCAACAGCCTTGAACAGCTACTGCTCTGCTGTCCTGCTCTGCCAGCCCAGGAAATAGGCAGTGGCACAGTGGCAGTTCTGACTCTCCTCTGGGTGCCAGATGTGGAACGCATGAAAACCAAGGGACTTGTGGCTTCCCCAGGCACCTGCAAGCCCCTCGCCCCTCCCACAGAGTGCACCATGGCCAAGAGCAGCTCAGCCAACAGTGGCCCTGTGAGAGCCAAGACGGACCCCCTATGTGAGGAGGGACAGCGTAAGGCCTACAGAACACGGCATGGTAAACACAGACTGCAAGGACAAGGAAACAGCCTCAAGAGCGGGGCGTCCACACATTCACACCTGCGCATGCGCTCAGCTGGTAGCACCACTGTCCCTCCTGTGCGTGTTCTGAGTTAGGCCCTCAATGCGCCCCCATGGAGAGCACTGCTATGTGCTCGCCGAGCCTGACCTTCACTCTCACTCAACCTGTAACCACAGCCTTCCCGGGAATACAGGGTCCCATCATCATCATTTTACCTCGTTCTCGGTCAAGGACGCAGAAGGAGACGAGCTTTTGCTAAACCCGAGAGCTGCAGATGCTGCTGCGGAAGCCCGGTTTCGCTTCTTCAGTGGTTTGCAAGCATCAGACAGATTTTTTGTTGCTGAAAAATAGTTTTGTTTATAAAGTAATGTTTGAAATCTTAAACCCTCAGCCTCTTGCTGCTATAAAATTACCCCTCAAATAAATGAAGTTCTACAGAGACTCTTCTGGGTCCCTTTGTCATATTAAGGGCTTAACTTTTTATCATGGAAAAATCCGAATGTAAATAAAAGCAGATAAACTGTACAGTGAACACCAGGTCCCCAAGACCAGGCCCCCGAACCATCAGGCCAAGGCCAGAGAACTCCATTCACACCTTGTGCCATGTCCCCTTGACAGAGTATTCTGGAGCAAATTCCAGACATGTCATCTCATCCATAAAAAGCTCAGTGCAAACCTCTAAAGCAGTTAACAGACAACAACACTGCCAGTATACTTGAAAGTAATGACCCCTTTCTATCACCAAGGGCCCCCCAGTCGCACTGAGAGTTCCCGCTGTTTGCACATGTTCTTTAAAGAGACAGGCTATTTAACTCATTTTCAAAAACCAGCAAAGCACCTCACACAATTTAGGGAAATCGGCTTTGCCAGTCTTCACTTCCTCAGGCTTATTCTCCCAGGAGCTGAAGATGGTTAGCCACCTCTGATAAACTGTCAGGCAGATTTCAATAATACAATTAATGAAAAAGGTAAAGGGGGTGTGATTACCCCTTTCAAAATTTGTTTTGATAAGCAGTTTTATTTTTTGGTACTGGGGATTGAACCCAGGGCACTCTCCAACTAAGCTGTATCCCAGCCCTTTTCAAATTTTGAGACAGGGTCTCATCAAGATGCCTGGGCTGGCCTGGCATTTTCGACCCTCTTTCCTCAGCCTCTGGAGGGACTGGGATCACAAAGTGTGTCCACCCCACCCAGCATTAAGCTGACTTCTTTAACATGTGACAAACAAGCAACTAGTAATGACTTTTACTCTTAGCTAAGGTCAACAGAGATTCAGGGTCCTCGAGGGATGGCTTTTGGCAACAACTGGTGCCACCAAGTAAGAAATCTGAAAAATTCTGGCTTAAATCACTCCTCCAGTAAAATTTCAAACAATAAAGTAAAAATCAGCAGAAAAGTGACTTTAGTTAACCGTGCGTTAAGCCTTAAAACTCACATGTCAAGGGGCTTGGGTCAGCAGCATGAGTACCTCTCCCTTCTCGCCCCATGGTCCCTCTGAGGTTGCCCGGGGTTCCTCATACCCAGCACTCCTCTCCTCTGGCCCCCTCACTGAGGACCCCTGCTCACCCACCTACCCAGGTATCAGAGAGACCTAAGCACATTACCTGCCTGGCTCCTAAGCGAGGAGGCTGCCTCCGTGGCCCTGTAGGAGCTGGCTCTGGCCATTTTGTCAGTGGTCGTCTCTCTCTGTCATTTAGAAAGAAAAAAAAAAGAAAGAAAGAAAAAGGGAGAACAAAGGAAAAGAAAGAAAAACGTCTCCTAATGTGAATGAACACAGGTTGCTGAAAACTTGTGCAATGGAAACTTCTTCCTTGGGAAGTATGTCCCACACCCCACTTCCTTGGGAATTGTGTCCCACCCAAGGCCACCCCATCTCTGGCTTCTCCTCTCTGGACTTCCTCTTTCTGCACCCCAACTCCGACAGCTGTCTGCTGGGCAGGTGCAGGGCCCTGCCCAGGTCTGCTGTGGCTGCTCCCTTCAGATGCCTCCCACGAGGTACCCTACCCTTGCTGTCTGCACTTCCCACTGAACCCAAGCAGGGTGTCCATTGAAGAAACCTAGCCTTCTACCCCAGAGGTCCAATCACCTCAAGTCAACCCCAACTGGCTCACTCAGTGCCGAGAGGACTAGTCTAACACACTACAATGAAGACCTCCAATTTTGAGATAAATTCCCAAGACCCAGTAAACTCCAGCAAAAAAAAAAACAAAAAAACAAAAAAACAAAAAAAAAAACACATCAACAAAACACATTTTCTTTTTTGGTCCTAGGGATTGAACCCCAAGGAAGGACTGCCTGCTGGGTCCACCTCTCAAGGAGGCTTGTTCCACACCTGTGCCCTGTGCCTGCCACACCAAACATAATCAATGCCTATTAGGAATGACATGAATGTGCTCAGGTTCATGAAAATCTGACAGAGGACACACCACTACTTTGTTTTATATGGTGTACAATTTCCTAAGCTATAGTTTTAGAGAAAACATCCCATCTGGCTACTTGATGTGAACCTTCATATTTCAAAAGTTCAGGGCCATAGGTGTTTTTAGGTATATTATTTACACAAATATTTCAAAGCAACCAATTTCAGTATGATCACCAGTAAAGACCTGCTTTAGGGGCTGGGGCTACAGCTCAGTGGTAGAGAGCTTGCCTAGCACATGTGAGGCCCTGGGTTTGATCCTCAGCACCACATACAAATGAGTAAATAGAATAAAGGTATTTTAAAAAAAAAAAAAAAAAAAACTGCTTTAGAGCTGGCGTCCAGAGAAGATATTAAGTATGCACTTCCTGATAACCTCAGTGACGCCCGGAGAATGTGACCCAACTTAAGCTGGACACCGATCACTAACTGGTCCCAACTGTTGATAGGCACTGAGAACACTGTGTTGGCCAGGAAAGTAAGGCAGGCCCTGCTTGCTCCCTTGAACTGCACACACACCTTAAGAATTAAGACGCCGATGTGGCTCAGCAGTCTGACAGGAAAGATTATTTTCCATTCTTCCAAGTAACACAAAACAAAAAGGCAGCATAATACAGTATCAAGCTGTACTCCAAATCATAAATATACAACTTCTTCAGAACCATTATTGAGTAAATGTGAATTAAAGTATAAAGTACAAAGTCTGTCTAAACTCAGTTTAAAGAAATAGCCAACTGACATTGGAGATGGCCGAGGCAGGCACGTCTGCCCCCAGGCACAGCAAGCTGCTGTTCCTCAGTTCCCTGTGTGAGGCAAGCTCTGCCCCTGACAGATGTGGTACAGGGTACAGGGCCTGGGGCTGCCAGCGGGCCAACTGCCCCCTTTAGGTTGCATCAGTACTGCCCACACTGCCTAGGACCCCCACTGAGTAAACAGTATCATGAATTACTAACAGACTCAAGAGGTTCCTGAAATATGATTTCAATGCCTGAAACGGATTCTTTAACTGTTTTATTTATTTATTTATTTATTGGTACTGAGGTTGAACTGAGGAGTGCTCTACCACTGAGTAACACCCTCAGGCCTTTTTGAGTCAGGGTCTTGCTAAGTTGCTTAGGGCCTCAGTAAGTTGCTGAGCCTGGCCCTGAACCTGCAATCCTCCTGCCTTAGCCTCCTGCATTGCTGGGATAACAGGTGTGGCCATTGCACTGGGCCAGATTCTTTTAGTTTTTACTGAAGTTTAACATACATCTCTAATGGATTTTCATATCAGCTCACTGAACAACTGAACAGTAAGTCCAACAGACAAGAGTCTGCAGTTACATGATTCTGGGGATAGAACCCAGGCCCTCAACTGTGCCAGGCAAGTGCACCACCAGCGAGCTATAGCCCCAGCCCAAGAGTTTTTTTGTTTTTTTTTTTTTTTAATGTTTTAGTTGTAAATGGACATAATACCTTTATTTATTTATCTTTATGTGGTGCTAAGGATCAAACCCAGGGCCTCACACATGGTAGATAAGCGCTCTACCGTTAAGCCACAACACCAGCCCTCCAAGAGTTATTTTTAACATGTCATTTTATCCAATTTAAGTTTATCCAATTTAAAAGCAATTTATAAACTCCCAGGGTTTGGGTGCTATTTCCCACAGCCAAGAGGCAGCATCTCTGTCACCCTGAGGGTAGGCACTGCTTTCTTCGGCAGCCTTCTCCCAGGGCTCTGGAAAAAGAGCAGGCTTCGATGCTGAGCAGCACAGGGAGCTCAGAGAGCCTCTGCCTGCCTCCCAAGCCCCAAGAACCACACTTTCCCAGGGGCCAGGCAAACCTGGAACATACTTACCTTCCGGAGACTGTGCTTGTCTGTCCTGAGTCTTTTCCTGGGAACATCCTCAACGTCAATATCTTCTGAAGGGTCCTCCGTCCTCTTTGTGTGGGTTCTTTTCTTCCCGTTAATGTTACCTTGAAATAGGAGATGGGGAAATGCACGTGAGAAACTCCATGTGCTGCTCTCCGAAGTACAGGACCCTGGCCAGGGCAGTGGACGTGCAAGCCACCCTAGGGGAAGTTTCCAGCAACTCTGAAATCCCCAGGTCCTATGTTTCACATTCAGAATCTCCTTATACCAAAACACTGGGGACTGAAAATATACCTTAGAGATTATCATATTTGTACTTATTATCATTTTATTTTAACCTACTGGAGTATTAAATTTATACATAACCTAGTATTTGCTTACTAACATTCAAAGACTGAGAGAATACCCAGTGAACTTTAGAACAATCTGCTACCACTTATGCATTCTCTTACAGAACATCTAAGTACACCACTACATTTTTATCTACAAAGGCTTTCTCTTCTTTTTAGTACCAGGGAATGAACCCACAGGCACTTAACCACTAAGCCATATTCCTAGCCCTTTTTATTTTTAATTCTTTTTTTTTAAATATTTTTCTAGATGTAGATAAACACAATATCTTTATTTATTTATTTATTTTTACTTGGTGCTTAGGATTGAACCCAGTCCCTCACATGTACTAAGCAAGTGCTCTACCACTGAGCCACAGACTCAGCCCTTTATTTTTTATTTAGAGACAGGGTCTTGCTAAATTGCTTAGGGCTTCGCTAAGTTGCTGAGGCTAGCTTTGAACTTGCCATCCTTCTGACTCAGCCTCCCAGGCCACTGAGATTAAAGGTGTGTGCCACGACCAGCACACCCAGCCCTTTTTAAATATTTTTTTACGTTGAGACAGCATCTCACAAGGTTGCTGAGTCTGGTCTTAAACTTGCTATCCTCCTGCCTCAGCCTCCTGAGCAGGTGGGATTACAGGGGTGCACTCTGTGCCTGCTTACACATTTTCTACGTGTGTGCTTGACTATCCACACAGTCATGTCTCAGGATATCACTAATCCCCAAGAAGATGTGCAAACAGGACTGGCCTAAAAACAAATCAGGTAGACAACACAAGCGCAGACCCTGGAGACAACCAGCTTGAATGTGCCAGTGTTTATTTTTAGAGGTTCAGGATTTCTTATTAACAGACTCTCATCAACTTCTTCAGGACACTGTCACCCTCAAACTCACTGTTAGGATGCAACACCAGCACCGGGTACTCAGCCCCCTATCAAACAGCAGGCCTCTGGAGGAGGCACCAGAGGCCCCATATGCCAAAACAGCAACAGAGTGGCAAGCCATGATGGGGTGCTGAGCAGCCAGTGCACAAGCTGTCCACCTCCAGCTGCAGGCTATGCAGTAGGGCCCAGTTCTGTCCCTCAGCAGACTTGGGCTGGCCATGAAGTCTGCATGGGAACAGGCCTACAGAGGACAGCAGGGTCTTAAAGTCACAGCCTGAGTACAAGCACAATGAAGCCCAGTCTGCCCCACTTGCCAGAACCTCCCTGGCAGGTCTGCCACTGAGCCTCGCTCAAATGCAAGCAGCAGCATCTTCCTATACCTATCTTCCCACAGGGAGGCAAGCTCCTGGGCCTGTCCACGAGTACCTCATGAGCACCGCCCCTCCACTGGGATGAGGCAGCAGCAGCTATTCATGGAAGCGAATAACATGGCATCCACGTGAAGTCTGCAGTGAGACAGTGGGACAGCTGGCACACAGCGATGGCACACCATGCTCTGGGCGGCACCAGGTTCCCCTGGAAGCCAGAGTTCAAGGGCACCCAAAGACAGCATGCTCCTGATGGACACTGTGATGGAAACCCACCATCACCCTTACTATCTACCCAGTGCTCAGGGAAAGCCCAAGTGGCAGATGATGACACACAGGCAAATTTACTCACTCTTTAAGGATGAGCATCTCTGGCTTTGGGAAAGCCCAGCTCCTTTTTAAATACGGCACCCCTGTGCAGAAGCAGAAGCACTCCTCTCAAGCACTCCTCTCAAGCAGAGGCAGCCAGCTTGCCTCTAGGGCCAACACGCAGACCCTGTGTGTCTTGGGCTCTAAGCTGCAGCCCTTGAAGCACACACCAAGCAGCGTGAAAAAAAGGCCAGACCAACACAGTCAGTTGATGTGGAGATCTAAAAAGCCCCAAATTGTTGGGAGCCATTCTCACACGTGATCGGGTGCCTCCCGTTGAGGGTCTGAGGCACTTTGGCATAAGTCGAAGTTTTTCCCGGCCCTCTACTGATGAGAGAGCCCATCCGTGTGGGGGTGTGCCTGACCACTGACCCCGGGGACCCAATCGCTGACCCTGACCTTGGAGTGCAGCCCCCCCCTCAACCTTCATTGGATGGAATTCTCCCCTGAATCTCTGGTTCCCTAATAAAAGGCTACTCCTCGGCGTGCTCGCTCTCTCTCTCCTGCTAGCCCTGAGTAATCCTTGCTGCCCTGCTGGGCGGCTAGAGGAGCGAACCAGAGAGGGGAGCCGTCTCGGACCTAGCAATAGAATTAAGGTAATTGAGTCTTGTGTTTTTATTTCGATCTCGTCTAACTAACTTTATGCCTAGAACCTCATTAATGAAACCACTGCGCAGGCCGCGTGGTAGACCAAATAACACCTGTGAGGGAAGGAGGTGCCACTGTGCCTGTGTGATCACTGCCAGCATAGAGGAGCCACTCCTGCACAGCCCAGCTCACAGGGCCTGCACCTCCTGTCAGCTGAGTCTTGCAGCACTATGTCTGGTTGCTCCAGAACTCCTCAATGATGAACCTTGACAGATGCACATTTTCTGTACCTTTTCTTGATACCCAAAGATGTCACGCCTATTTTTTACATTAAGATGGCAGTTTTCAGTCAAACATTGTGGTGCACACCTGTAATCCTAGCAGCTCAGGAGGCTGAGACAGGAGGATCCAAGTTTCTAGCCCAGCCTCAGCAACTTAGTGAGGCCCTAAGAACCTCAGCAAGACCCTGTCTCTAAATAAAATGGAAAGGTTTAGGAACATGACTCAGTGGTAGGGCACATACTTAGCATGTGGCAGGCCCCATCTTCCAGCCCCAGCCCCATAACAGGAAAAAAAATTTTTAAAAAGGCGGTTTTCCACAACTTGTGAGTCTGGGAACACACAGACCGCAAACCTGACACTACTGCATGTCTTCCAAGTCTTACATTGTTCTGTCCTTTACCTTGTCACTGCCCCAAGTAACACTTTCTATTTTTTAAACTGAAAGCCCAGAAGGAACCAAAGGACACACAATCCAAGGTCAATCCCGTCATCCCCTCACCTGCAAGCTCTCAAGCAAACAAGCCAAGAACTGCCCCTCTCTGGGCCTCACGAGGCCTAGCCTTTGAAAGCAGGCCCGAGAGGAGCCGAGCACAAGTCAAGACTGGACGCGCTGCTTGGGCAGCTCCAATGCCAGGCCACAGGCCTGAAGTCAGACCTGTCCCCCCAAGCCTGGGGTCCTAGAAATGGCCTGGCTCCCTTCCTTCTTCTGTCCTCTCCTAAAAAAACCTCTCTCGTGACTACAATGGCCAGAACACCTGCTCCCCAAGAACAATAGCAAGGGACCTGCAGGCCAGCAGAGGAGCAGAGGACCAGAAGACAGAGCTCCAGGACAAGAAAGAAAGCACAGACAGCAGAGGCTGCCGCCTCACGGCAGGAACATTCTGCCAGCACCCCAAGGGTGTGGTTCAGCGGCCGGCTGCACACACAGGCCGCACATTACCAGAGTCTTCCTCAGCCGGGGTGCAGGTCACGAGGGCAAACTTGGTGTTATAGCGTGCCTTCTGTTTTTCATTGAGCATGTTCCACTGGGAGCTCAGCAGTTCTTCAATCTCCTCGCCTGAGGCGTCAGGGTGCTCAGCAACAACCTGTGAGCAAGCAGAAGAAGCAGAGAAGGCCTGATCACCAACTCACTCCTGCTTTGCACAGATGAAATGTATAGCCCTTTCCAACTTAGCATGTGGCGTTTTTATTCCTGCATCATGGAGCTTTTTCTCAGAAAAAAATAAAAGAAAAATAACACTTAACTAATGTTGTGATTCATTGAGAACTCATTGAGAATACAGATAAATGGTTAAAAATAAATAAATAAAAACATTACTTTTCCAAAATCACTAAATGCATTTGTAAGTCAGTTTTCTATACCCCCAAGACATCAGTAGTGAAGCAAAGCCACAGAAGCCCTAGCCAGGCTTCCTCTCAGGCCCCAGCACCCAGGATCCATCTTCCAGTGCTCACCCCAGAGGAACAGTAAAAGCGGTCCAGCAAGGAGGGGTTCCTTGCTCCTGCCCCAGTGCTTTAAGACCATCACTGCACAGCCCAGAGACAGGGCCTCTCTGCCCCTCCAGCCACTCAGCACCAGCACCCCAGGACTGGCTAGCAACACAGACCCCCAGGCCCCTCCCAGACCTCCTGGCCAGGAGGCTTCCAGGTGGTTTGTGTCTGTGTCACAGTGATCTGGGGGCACACACAGCCACAGCCTCAGGAGCTTGACACCTATGGTATTCAGATCCCACCACATCCCAGTTCAGCCCAGTGGGCTGGCCTCTGTATTGTTTCCCATGTGCACCAAGATGGAGAGGCACCAACAAAGGGGAGGGCACAAGGGCCAGCACACTAAGGGGTGCAGCCCACTATGGCTCACTGCCCTTTTCAGAAAGACCCAGGAGCTAAGAATCATTTTTGTATTTTTTCAGAGGCTAAAAAAAAGAAGAGTATTTCACTTCATGCAAAAATTTCAGAAAACTCAAAGATTAGTGTCCACAAACAAAACTTAATGGGGGGGCTGGGGTTGTGGCTCAGTGGTGGTGCACTTGCCTAGCACATGTGAAGCACCCACCCCTGCCCCAGCGTCCTCAGCACCACATAAAAATAAATAAATTAAATTAAATTTAAAAGTCTTAAAAAAAAAAAAAGCTTCATGGGAACTCAGTCACAAGCTGGTATTGCCGTTCTGCCTGGGGTTGTTTTCACACTGCAACACCATTGGGACAGAGACCTCATGGAATGGCAGGGTCCCAGGATGACACTTTTCTGACCAGCAGAGCCCTACCAGCACTTCTGGGACCAGATGGGATTCCAATCTGGGCGCTGGGCTTTTGTGAACGTAGGCAAGTGAAGGTGTAGAATGTGAGCAGCGTCCACATTCAGAGCATAAATGTTAGCTGGCTACCATCACCACCTGGATCTACCACTTGCCCAGTCAACACCTGTTCCTGCCTCCAAACACAAACTATGCCCTCCTCCATCCACTCTCCCACTTCCCCCCAACCTCTGCTCTGCTACAGCCTGTTAACTAGACAGGGACAGCCCCACCACCTCCCCATATCACCTTTCCAAATGAAGGTGAGCAGCAACTTGCAGACACACCTAGCCTGACAGCCTGCAACCTCCCACCTCAAGGACACCTTCTGCAGTTTCAAGTCTGGTTCTGGCTCCAAGGCACCACAAGGGTTCTCTCTTCCTACCCCTGCCTGGGCATTCCCTGCCCCACTCACACCAATCCTGTCACTTGACTTGGGTGTCTTCCCCTTGGCTAGGCATGGCTTTCTGTCCATCTGCCTGCAGCCTCACCTGCTGCATGAGCTCACCCCTCCCAGCTCAGCAGGCACCAAGATCTCAACCTTCCTCCAGCAAAGGCTTCTGTGCTGCGCATCAGTTCCACAGGCACAACCACGTGGCCAACAATGCCCTCCTTGGCCACCCATCCCTGCCCCAGCATCCTCAGCACAGATCGTGCTGTGCTCCCAGCTGCCTCACTAAACTCACCAGACTCCTGAGTCCCCCCAAGGCCACCTTCCTCCTGCTTGTCATCCTGCACCACTCAACATTCTTTATTTATCCACTTCCATCCAGAGCATCACAAGCACAGATCTGAATTTCAGCAATCAACCTCCCGGATCTTGATCCTGTACATCTATCTCCTTAACATTCCCAAGCCAAAGAGGCTAGGCCGCCACAATTCTGTGGGAGGCCTCCACGTCATGTGACCAGCATTTTCTTCTCCTGATTGGTTTGAGGCACTGTGGTCATTTCCAGTGATGTGGTCACTTCCAGTGATCTGGTCACTTTCTTTTTTTTTTTTTAAATTAGTTGCTCATGACAATACAGTGATCTTGACATATCATACATTTGAATCAAATGGGGTATGAATTCTCATTTTTCCAAGTGTACAGGTTGATCTGGCCACTTTCAAGTGGCTGTGGACGGCAGCCCCCATCTTGAGAGCAGTAAAAATGTAACAAATGTGTCTTCAAGCCAGGTGTGCCTTCCCGCAGCCCCATAGGTGGAGCTATGCTCACCTGTTCCTTTATAATATTACCCCTTGCCCTGTATGGAATAGAAAGTTCCATGGAAACACCCTTTGTGTGTCCCCTTCTCTTACTGTGCCCTTGGGTGTGGCCTACCTAGGTGTCAGTCAACCTGCTGACAGCAGACTCAGGAAGCTAGACTCAGCCCCCTGAAACCTGACCCCTGGCCTCATTTGAATGGCTTCTCCTCAATAAAAGGGGTCAGCATGCACTCTCTTTCTGTGGACCCTTTAAGGTCAGAGTAGCCGTCACAGGACCTCCAAAATAAAAAGGTGTCTCTGTCTCTTGTGTGGTTATTTTGCGCAGCCCAGTTCCCCTGGAGTGACCCTGAGTGTTTTTGTCACTGGGAACCCGACACAACACCACGAGGACTTCAAAGATCCCGCAAATCCCGCAAGACCCCCACGCTGCTTCTCTCGCACTTTCATCTCTCACCCAACCTCCTGCAAGCGACATAGTGGGCAGTCCCCAGAAGGCTCATGTTCCTTCCAGCACTTCCCACTGGCTCCGCAGCACCCACAGCAGGTTTCAGCCACCAGGTTACTGTGAGGGGTGTTCACAGAGCTCTGTGGCAGGAACCACAGGCAAATGGCAATAGAACCCTCCCTACATCAGGTGCTCATTGTCTTTGCTCTTCACCTCTCTCCAGCTTAGACGCTTCAGGGGAACACAGACAGCATCTTTGCCAGAAGCCTGGGCTGCTAAATCAAGGGCCACGCACTCAAATCCACCTAACAAGGCCGCATCCGGACAGACTGGGACCAAGATCTTTCCCATTTCCATGGTGTCAGTAGAAATCATGCTGTGAACTTTGAATTCTAACGAGTTCCAGGATGGCACCGTTCTTACAGCCCTTTCTCACCATGCAGGGCAGCAGCAGTGAGTGCCGCTCGGTTGGCTCTCATTGGTGAGAGAAACCAATGCCACCACCATGCACCACGAGGCAGAGCAGCCTGCTGGGCAGGTAAGACACACTCAGTGCATTTCCACGCATGGAATTTTCAACTGGGGTGGTTCATCAGGCCAAGATCCATGATAAAGCCAGGAGTTCCTGTGGCTCAACAGTTGTGGGCTCTGAGCTCACGCATGCATGTGCACAGTCAGGGCCATGCCCGATTCTGCTTCCTGCCTGCAATTCCACTAGTAAAGGAGAGGCTTTCACCTGTGGGCTCAGAGCAGTCAGCCACAAAACAGGATGAGGTAAACCGTGGAGCATCCTGAGCACCAGGTACGAGTCTGCACTGACGGGTGGCAAGCACACAGCACCTGCTTCTGCATCTTTACTAAACTGTTTCTGACATACCACAAGAGCATGGAAACCACCAAGTGCCTCCTAAGCCACAGGTAACTGAGATCACACTTGTGCCACTGAGGACAGCGGTTCCTCCCAGAGCACACACCTCCCATAGCCGCCCCCATCCCCTGTCCCCCATCCCCAGTCATGTTGACTCAGGGGCTTCCTTTTGCTTCTGGATTCCAAAGGCAAATGCTGCAGCACCTGCACCCTCAGGCTACCCTTGAGGCCACCCTCTGATGTTCACACCCCAACTTGTCAGCACTGGCCGGTCTGCTCAAGAGCTCTCTTCTCCCCAGGTCTGCTGAGTTTTTTAAGTTGCCCAGGGTCCCAGAATGGTGTCCAGAGCAGCCATCTCACCCTGTTGGCCTGTAGCTCTTTCCCACGCACTTCTACCACTTGGAAGTCTACTCCTAGGCCCTGTTCTGGGCGGTGTCCCCGCCCTATGTGTCCCCAGCATTAGTGTCAACATCTTCACAACAGAACTCCCTGTCTAGTCAGGGGCCCTCTGGCCACATTAGCATCGTTCACACTGGTAGGTCCGCTGTGTCAGCACTGAATCTGTAGATTATAAGAGGGAGCCAACAGCTGCAGAATCCTGACCTGCCCAGCAGTGAGTACATCTAGGTTTCTCCAAAGCCACACACCATTCCACACATCTGTTCCTTGGAAACGCAAATCTTGTCTCCTCTTTTTAAACACTATATTTCCTCTTTGTTGCTGCCCTCAGGCAGTGATCACATGTCCACAGCCTTGGTGAATTCCTACTAACCTTAAAGACTTCCTGCATCTCCCACAGGGAGCTCAGCAAGCCAGCCCCGCTCCCCTTCCTTCACCACCTGCCTCTCGGCTCCCTCTTGCCTTGTGCACTGCAGCATGCAGCTCCTAGTACATGGGGAAGGAAGCAAGCAGTCCCACTGGTGCTGTTAGTGGGGCTTCGGTACTGCCATCGGAGGACCCCTGCGAGGACATCTGACACTTCAATGGACTCAGAGAGTTCCCTTCCACTCCTTTTTTCATCACAAAGCTGACTTGCACCAAACGTCTTTGCTCCATCAGTGCAGACAGTCGATTAATCGGCTACACAGAGAATCACAGTGACGGATTTTCTGTCCTGAACTTTGGCTTTCACTCCTGAGAAGAGCCCTACCAGACCTTCTGGAGAGGCACTGCTCAGATGCTTTCTCTGGAAGATCCTAACTCCTGGGCAGGGACACAAATGACATTTACATATCCCTAGAGCTCCTCATGGCCCCACTCTGTGCTGAGCCGCCTGCCAAGGAGCAGGCACTGACCACACACCCAGGGACAGTGCCTGGGGAGGACTCTGCTTCCCACTGGAACCTCAGGTACCATGTAGGTGTGGACTCCTGAACAGAAAGTTCCTGAGAAAGTGAAGTCACAAAGAACACTACAATAAGAAGGCTTCAGGTTCTAGACTAGAACCCACTCACTTCACGTGACCACACCACCAAACCAGGAGTCTCAATTCCTTATGGTGGAGCCAAAGATCCTGTGCCTTATCAGAACCACCAACCACTATCTACTACTGCCCGTGCCGACACAGTAGGATACATCCTCAACATCCCGGATGTGGAGACGTCAGCTTCACAGGTGAGCAGGGCCGCGCCAGAAGCCTCAGGACAGCCATCTACAGCAAAGGCTCACCTGGAGCTAGATGCTGAGGCCGAGAGTGCCCCAGGGAAGCCCACCCCCTGAAAGGAACATGGGCAGCAACCCAGGGGCAAAGGCAGGCAGTCTTGGTCCCAAGGGGTCAAAACGGCTGCTGCTGCCCAACAGTCAAGCAGCAGCCAGCCATGCACAGGAATGCTCCCCAACTTGGAAACTCGGGCATATGAAGCACACCTCAGAACCCATCTGAATACTGACCTCATCCCTGTGCTTTTGACAGAAGACCAAAAACTGGGCAGCTGCATCTCCCTTCCTGCTCCTTGGAGTAGAGGGCGTGGCCTTTTTCCTCCCAGGAGGAGAACCCACTCCTCTTTTGGGGTCAGCCTCTGCCATCTTTTGAGGAGAACTCTTTTCTGTGCCAGGGTCGCTCTCCTGGTGCTCCGCAGAGCTGGACCGTTTGACTCTCCGCCTTCTCTTCATAGGAACACCTTCCTCTCTCATGGGCCCAGGATCTGCGGCAGCTTCCTCACTGGGCCCTGTGGACGCTGCCATTTCTCCAGAGGTCTGCACAGCAAGGCCAGCCTCCTTAGCCACCTGTGGGTTGAGGTGCAGCTGGCCCCCCACATAGAGGAAGGTGAACTTGGCTTTCCGCTCTTCCACAGACATGCCTGCGGCTTCCTCTGCCTGAACAATGCCCATTTCCCACTGGGCCCTCAGTTTCCCTGAAATAGGCTTCAACAGCTGAAAAGAAGCAAAAGACATTAAAAGAGTTTTGCAGAGACATAAAAGGTAGCTGACTTTAAAAGAGACTTACAGTTCAGATACATTTAGAAATCAGAAATGATAACTTAGTAACAATTAACTTAGGAGGATTTTTAAACAGAACTGAGCCAGTAACTATTGTTTCTTTAAACTAGAAATCAATTCCAATTGCATTAACTTATGTAATCTATACATACATAAAGCATAATAAAAAATATAAAACAAGTTATTTCTGGGAGTTAACAAATGAGTAAAGGAGAAATAAGTTGTCTGCAAGTTTGTCACAAGTTTGCCAAATGTCACAGTATATTTGGTCAGAGTGAACAACAACAATTTAAGAAGCAATTTCAAGCAATTATTAAGTTCAAAACAAACAAATGATAAAGCGTGGACTGAAAGTACATGAAAAATATGTCTATCACCTTGGTTTTCTCAGCTTTCGTGGGTGCCAGCTTGGCACTTTCCTGGCATAATTTTTCAAACTGTCCTTCTCCTTCAAAAGCTACGAGGCTCTTCTCAAATATCCAAGCTCTCTCTGGGGCATCACCAAAGAACTGTACGTGATACTGGCGTGCACTTTTTTTCTGACCTGATTTTAAGACAAAACGTTAGAACATTAATGTTAAAACTCGGGATGAAACTAGGCAAAGCATACTGTCACTTTGAAGCTGTTCACACGAGCCCACTGGCCACAGAGGGAGCCCTGGCTTCCTGTGCCCACCATGCTCTGACAAAAACAGAGGGAGCACAGGCTGCTGGGAAGGAAGGGGAGGACGTGTGCTCCTTCACCTGCTGCCTCTCAAGGCCTCGAGGTGCCAGACAACTAGAGAGGGCAGAGCAGCAACAAGGGGCTTGGCCAGGGGCAGGGTCCACGACCCACCCGTCCTGACAGCTGGCCATTCCTTGCTCACCGCACCTGGAGAGAGGGCACGCAGCCTCTGAGAAACTGCAACCACAGCAAAGCTTCGCCCTCAGACACCCACTGCTGTCACTCTCAGGTACAGGAAGAAGCCACAACACAGCCAGGAGCCAGGTGAACAAAGAGACCACTGGCCCCCAAACCCAAGGCGGGGCAGATGCTGCTGAGGTGGAGTGAGAGCTGGAACGGGTATGCCAGCAGGAGGGCAGGTCTCTGGGCTGAGGGAGGGAGGGAGGGAGGGAAGACGGTCCCCTTATGCACTGGGTTGGCCACAGGAAACCAAAGCAGAGTTCCTGGGGAATGAAACACCAAGGAAAGTCTCTGCATGATGTCTTAGAAATGTCCCACTGTGTGGCTGTTGCCAGGCCAGAAACCAGAGTCTCCCACTCACGGTTGCAGGCAGTGCTCAACACACTGTGCTCTGACACAGGCCCCAGACAGAGCACTCGGGATTAGGGACACCTCCACTTCAAGGAGGTCAAACACACAGGAAGTCCTGGGCAGCCTCAGCAGGGCCACAGACATGGGGCAAGACAGAAAAGACACCCAGAGAAACACCTAAAAAATGCTACAAAATGAGACACAGAAAAGGAAACAGCCAACTATAAAAATACAATTCATCAATAAGGCTGGGTAGACAAAGATCTCCCACAAAAGCCAGTCATCCCAGTGACTCAGGAGGTTGAGGTGGGAGGATCAAAGTTTGAGGCCAGCCTCAGCAAGTTAGCAAGACCTTTTCTCCAAATAAAAAGGGCCAGGGTATAGCTCGGTGGTACAGCACCCTAGATTCAATCCCCAGTATCTGGGGATGGGGAGGATGGTGACCCAAAACTCTATATTCTAGGAAAAAAATGGAGTAAAACCTTCAACTCTCTGATGGGAATCATTCTTAATGCAAAACTCCATACCTAGCTAAACCATAATGAAGCATGAGGACAGAAAACCAGCTTGATCTGAACGGCAGGGACTCAAATGTACCTCCTATACACACTCTCGGAGGATACCCAAAATGTACCTGGAGGCTGGGGCGTAGCTCAGTGGGTGGGAACGCTTGCCTGGCTGGACCCCAGCACCACAGGACAGATGAGCAAAGAGGCCAACCGCCAAAGAGCACAGAGGAGCACAGCACCACATGCCACTCAGCAAAGGGTGCCCATGCCAAAGGGCAACAGCGCAGCAGGCAAGGGAAGAAGGGCGCTCCGAGGCCCACAGGGGAAAGACAGGGACACCTCCACACTGAGTCCTGGTCACAGCCCAGGGTTCGGAGACAAGCCAAAGGGCAGAAAAGAGGGGCTCAGACACCAGTTCTTGCTGCTCTTATTTTTTTGTTTTGTTTGTTTTGTTTTGTCTTGTTTTCTATTTGTAGATGGACACAATGTCTTTATTTTTATTTATTTATTTTTATGTGGTGCTGAGGATCAAACCCAGGGCTTTATGTGTGAGAGGCAAATGCTCTACCACTGAGCTACAATCCCAGCCCGAGTACATAGTTTTTTAAGAAAGCAATAACTCCAGGAAAAACAAAAGGTTGTCCAAGAAAGAAAATGTAACTATAGAACACAACTTTTCATCAAATAATATTTATATAATCCAAGTTATGTAAGTAGTTCTTTAATGAAAATTTTAAAAGTACCTTAATCATATGTAGAAAACAGGAGAAAGAAATAGAAAAAGGGTGACGAATTAATCTTCATTTCCATAATAAAAAGTCAGCAGAAAATATCTAAGATGATAAAAACTAGCAGTTGAAATCAGAAGAGAAGGGGCTGGAGTTGTGGCTCGGCAGTAGAGCGCTCGCCTAGCACGTCCAGGGAGCTGGGTTTGATCCTCAGCACCACATAAAAATAAAATAAAGGTATTGTGTCCAACTATAATTAAAACAAAATATTTTTTAAAAATCAGAAGAAAAGAGAGTTTAATGAGTTAAAAAAATTTACCTTTGGGGAAAGGGGGAAAAGTAGGGGATGAATTTTCACAATTAATCTGAGCATAATTTTTTAGGTAACTTTTAGGTTTTTGTTTGTTGTGTTTTTTGGTATGAGGGATTGAACCCAGGGGAGCTTAACCACTAAGCCACATCGCCAGCCCTTTTTATGTTTTTATTTTGAGGCAGGTTCTTGCTAAATTGCTGAGGCTGGCTTTGAACTTGCAATCCTCCTGCCTTAGCCTCCCAAGCCACTAAGGATTATGGGTGTGAGCCACCACACCCAGCTTTTAGTTTTTATTTATGTTATTTTTAAAAATTAGGGTGTGTGTATGTGTATGTGTGTGTTTATTTGTGTGGGTGTATTTATTTGTGTGKGTGTATTTATTTGTGTGTGTGCTAAGGATCAAACCCAGGGCCTTAAACATGCTACGCAAGCATTCTGCCACTTTCAGTACAATCTGATTTGTACAAAGTATGCAAATTAATCTGAAAATGCCTAAAATTCAAGAATATTAAGCAAATTGTGACTTCTCCCATTATCTTAATAGTTGAAAAAAACTTCTTATTAATGAAAATGAATATAGACAGATATGAAATACATGTTGTGGCTGTTATATAATGATAATTTTTAAGTTCTTCCCTAACTAGAAATTTGATAATATTACCCAGTTTTCTCCTCTTTCATGAGTATCTTTAATCTAGCTGAATTTCATTTTTTAAATTTTTTAAAAATATATATATTTTTTTTTCGGGGCTGGGGATGTGGTTCAAGCGGTAGCACGCTCGCCTGGCATGCGTGCGGCCCGGGTTCGATCCTCAGCACCACATACAAACAAAGATGTTATATCTGCCGAAAACTAGAAAATAAATATTAAAAAATTCTCTCTCTCTCTTAAAAAAAAAATACATACATATATATATATATATATTTAGTTGTAGTTGGACACAATACCTTTATTTATTTTATGTGGTGCTGAGGCAAACCCAGGGCCTCGCATGTGCTAGGCATGTGCTCTACCGCTGAGCCGCAGCCGAGTTCCTAGCTGAATTTCATTTCTGGTTCCAGTTGAGAGGTGAGTATCTCATTGTCCTATTTTATTCCAAAATTAACCAGCTGTCCCAGCAATACAGGTTAATAACCCTTCCTTGCTTGCTTGCCAATCTCTGATAACCACGAATCACAGTCTTAAGACGATGGCTGCCACTGATTCCCTCTCTGGTCTCCTTGAACCGTCCTGATGCCAGGCTGTGCACTGTGCTTCCTTGCTCCCCGTCACGCCTCATTAAACTGCAGGTGGCCCTGTGGCTGAACCAGTCTCTCTCTCCAGATTCTGTGGAGCCTATGGAATTGACAGCAGTCATTCCTGCACTCAGGACTCCACAAAGGGACAAAACTGCCTCAGAGGTGAAGCTCTAGGAAGCAAGAGAAGCCTTGAAGATGCCAACAGGGTCTGGTGTCTATAACAATAACAAGAACAGCACACAAAAGCCACAAGGACAAGAGACCAGGGCTTCATGCCTCAGTTTCCCAGTTCAGCCCCAACGCAGATAATGCAGACACTGACAGATCTAGCCACAGAAAATGTATATCCACTGTCCTAGTGAAAAACTGTATTTAAACAGCTTTGTATAAGCAAGGAAAAATCCCCAGACACTGGTGCCAAGCAGACAAATGATATGGAAGTCAGAAGATCTGTTGTGCAGGGCCCAGGTTCAGTTTTGGGGAGTGCAGAAGTGAAACCCCTCACACACATGCACATGTGCCTGTACCAGGACTGCACAAAGGTTCAGATCCCACTTGACCAACACGTCCTCTCTCACCTTAGGTCCAGGTGCCCTAAGGTATACCCTGGAATTCCTGCAGCCTCTTGGGAAGGACTCCTTCAATTCTGGCAAAGCCAGGATACCAAAGATCCCCCAGGGAGATGGAATGGAAGCCAGTTAGAGGCCCATGTCCTGTGGAGCATACCTGCACTGGGGCCCCAGGACAGGAGGCAGAGCAGGGCATAGGTGGTACACTCAGGTCCTCTTCATCCTGAACCCAACCCCTTCCTGGTACGGCAGAAACCATACCCTTGCCAGAAAGCACCGTCATCCCCCACCCACAAAGAGCCACCTGTTCCCACAGCCAGCTGACAAGCCAGAAATGCCACCAGCATGAAGACCCAGACCCAAGTAGGAGCAACGTCACCATTCCTGGAGAGCTCAGGCCTCTGGCAGAGACCGGGGAACACATGTGCCACTGAGGTTCCACACAAGGCTGACCAGTGAGCCTAGCCCAGCCATAGTCTGGCTGCCCACATCTTGAAGGATGCAGAGGTCAGAGGACACCAGCGAGCTCAACCCAGCTCTGTACTGAACACATCTCACCTCCTTCAAACCAAACTAAAACTTCCCTGTAGAACTTTCCAGAAGACTCTAACCACCACCTGACCTTTTGTTTACATTTCCTTCAATACATATGTATGGGCAATCCAATTATTTAGGTACTTGCTGTGAACTGGTAACATATTACACTCTAAAATGTTCCTCAGCTGTTCCTGGCACCAATTTATCCACTCAAGTTTCATCAAGATAAAGTGATCATTTCTACTGGTCTTTCCCTCTTCACACAGGCCTGATAATCCGGATGCTTTTAAAACTCAAATTTAGTATAAAATACCATTTTGAAAATCATGCTGAAAAAAACAATCACTACATGTAGTACATTTTTAGTTATAAAGTCTGAAAGTCATTCAAGGCAAAGACCTTATTCCTTTGACACTAACTGGCAGGTGCACACTGAAGAGTTGCCACATGTCACACCTGCATCATTTCTAACCTCAGAAAACGCTGAGAAAGCCAACTCTGGTAGTTCTGTTGAAGGAAGTGCAAGCAAGAGGCCTGGGGGCGCAGGAAAAAGGTGTAGGAGGGGTGCCATACCTTTGAGCTTGGTGTAGTGGTGCAAGAGTGGGTCAGCAGAAACCATGCAGGGCCACCAGGGGTAGCCCGACACTTTGGACCACACTAAGTCACCAACGTTGTACTTCAACAGCTGATCTTTGTCTCTGCCTGTGCTTGGACAGGATTCCTTCTTAACTGGAATCTGAAGATGAATAACAAAAGACAAACATTAACACAACCAATTACTACCCTCAATCCAGCCTTCCACCTGTGGAAGACCAAGATTAATCCAGCTATAGGTTCAAAACACATGTGGAGGGCCAGGGACATAGCTCAGCCTACTATGTGGCAGGCTGGGTTCTATCCTGACACTGCAAAAAATAAAGATCATACACACACGGCCCCCAAAGGAGCATGTTCCCCTTGCTGTTTCAGGCCATGGAAACTATATGCCTCTCCCCTTCCTCTAAAAAGCAGTATAGTGTCTAGCACACAGTAGGTACTCAACAGCACAAACATCTATTTCCCTAGCCAGGGGGTGGTCCTCAGTAGAGCTTTAGCCACATAATTCCAAAACCATGTGCCTGAAGGTGGTCAGTCCTCAAAAGCACCAAGCATGGAGACCCAAGCCCCAGCACACCACTCTCGCTTCAGTACTCAGAGCTTCCCCGAGTCTCAGTTTCCCCATCTCTTGGACACAGGCAAGGTTTTTATGGTTTTTTGTTTTCTGGGTTTTGGGCAGTACTGGGAATTGAGCCCAGGGATGCTTTACCACTGAGATACAGCTGATTTACACGGCCGATCCTCAGTGAAGTGTCCAGGCCACCCTGTATGTCATTTTTAGATATGGTGACAAACCACCTGGCAGAATACAACAGAATACTTAAGGCAGTGTCTCACTAAGTTGCAGAGACTGGCCTCTAACTTGCAATCTCCTGCCTGAGTCGCTGGGATCATAGGCATGCACCACTGCATCTGGCATGTGGTTGAGTTCTGAGGTTCAACAGGATGTCCTCCTCAAGGCAACTCTGCCCCAGCCACCATGGGCTCTGCTCTCCAGTGGGATCAAGCACAGCCAAGGTGGCCCAGCCTCCCACAGCTAGCCCAATTCCTTCTCAAGATCACTACATGCTCAGGCAAAGGGCTGACTGGTTTGGAGCTTCAGTTTCCATCTGTGAATGAAAGACAACAGCTCTGAAATCTTGTGAGCCTAGCAGTGAGGTATGGCATAGAGTTGCCACAACAATACACTCCCAAAAGATGAGACTGCTCAGAGGTTCCAGCTACCAGATTCACCCCATCCTACAGACAGAGTCAAACATCAAGGCATTCCCTTGAGCTTCAACAGAACCAAGTGGCAAAGCCGGACAGGAAGCACAGGCTTCCTGCCCTGGGAAAGCCTAAGGTTCACCACAACCCTGAGCACTTCCAAAACTCATCAGTTACAAAAGGAGCTCTCTAAAAGTTGTCTTTGGGGTTAGGGATGTGGCTCAGTGACAGAACGCTTCACTAGCATGTGTGAAATTCAAAGTCAAATCCCCAGTGCTGCTGGGGGGCGGGGAGCGGATAAAAACCTGCCTTTGAAATTACATTAGCCAAAGCCAAATCTGTTCCTGAGCACTCAAAAACCACTGTCTTTACACCCTAAAAGGTCTTCATGAGTTTAATAATTCCAAGGAAACTTCAACCATTCCTCCTCCTAGCTGTGGAAATTCTAAACAAAATCCCACAACTGTACTTTTAAACAAAACACCCCAGGCTTGTTGATGACACCAGGTCCCACCAGTCCCTGGTGGACCTGGAGCTGCACCTGAAGGCCCACAGGCTCCTGGGTCCTCTAGGCCACCAGCCCTGGACAGAGAGCAGGCTGCCTGGCATCTAATCCCTTCTGCCAAGGCCACAGCCCTTAGCTGATTTACATGGCCCATCCTCACTGAAGTGTCCAGGCTACCCTGTATATCACTTTTAGATATGGTGACAAACCACCTGGCAGAATACAACAGAGCCACGTGTCCTCCCACCTAAAGTCAGGCTCTCCTCCCAACCTCTGGTGAGTGGCACAACCCCTGCTCACTTGTGTCCACAGTGCTGGGGGGGGGAGGGCACCAATAACAGAGAACAGCCCCCTCCACCTGCTGGGCCCTGGCTGAGACCCACACATGGAGGGCAGGGCATGTGGGAAGGCTAATAGGAGCGGCCTGGCCTGGTCCAGTGCTGCTTCCACTCATCAGGTGGTGCAGACTAGGGTCCACCCCTCCACTGAGCAGCTGGACTAGAGCGCCTAGCACTAGCAGATGTGGCTCAGAACTGGCCGCCTCAGCCACGCTGCCCCTGAGCTGAGCACCTAAGTTCTTCAGGCCTCTCCAATGGCACAGCAGGTGGCGACACACCTCCAGTGGCAATGCGGTGCCATCAGCTGTGTGTGGCCAGGGTGAGAAGACAGACAGCAACTGCCACAACAGGACATTCCCCATCGCCTCCACCTGCCACCACACACATCCTGTGCTCAACACTCAGTCACATGCCCCAATGGAATCCCTCTCAAATACCTTTTTATCTGTAGGACTTGAGATCTTGGACACCAGAGCTGCTTCCACAAGGCCCTGCTCCAGCAAGGAGTCATATTTTATGCTCCTTTTCCTGTTCCTCCTTGCCTTGTTCTCAGATTTTTGTCCATTTTCTTCTGACTGGGTCACCTCAGCAGTGCTGTCACCACAAATGGAAGATTCAAAGAGAGGCTTCCCATTCATGTATGTCTTAGTGATTTTCAGCTTAATTTCAGGAGAACCATTTTTGACAGGGGTAGTGTTGGGCGGCGTCCCCATTCCTTTTACTTCCTGGGACTCAAAACATAATTTGGCATCATGTGCACCAGGTTCTCCATTAAACACACGGGAAGTAAGATCTTTCAACTTCTCAGTAGGAATGAAGGGAAGAGCATCATGGCCATTAAATTTCGGCATGACTCCCTCCTGTAGGCTGTTAGAAAGCTGAGCTTTGCTGAGGAACACAGAACAGTCGCGGTTCACATCACAGTTCTGGGTCTTCCCATTTGTGCTGCCAAGGATTTCTGGTGCCTGCTTCATCTTTATGCACTTTACGGCTTTCTGGACAGACAGAGGACTTTTTTTGATACTAAATTCCATCCAGCCTGGATGCTTCAGTTCTTAGACTACTATAATATTTAAAAAAAAAAAAAAAAAAAGAAGAGAAAAAGCAACATTACATTCAAAACCTAGGACAAGCATGCTAACAGTTCTATAGCTTTGTGGGAGCTGGGGGTTTTGAGGTACTTTATATCATATAATAATTTAAGTTGTAGGAGGCAATTTTTTTTTT